GGTGTTGTTGTTGTTGTTGGTGGTGGTGGTTGGTTGTTGTTGTTTTTGTTTTTGCTGGTGGTGGTGTTGTTGTTGTTGTCGTTGTTGTTGGTGGTGGTGGTGGTTGTTGGTTGTTGTTGTTATTGTTGTTGTTGTTGTTGGTGGTGGTGGTGGCTGTCGTTGTTGACGGTGGTGGTGGCGGTTGGTGGTGGTGGTGGTGGCGGTTGGTGGTGGTGGTGGTGTTAAGTGGTGGTGTTGTTGTTCTTCTTCTTGTCGTTGCTCGTGTTGGTGGTGGCAACCACCTTTTCTCAAATTTTTGTTTTGACAAAAATATTAAATATACTTCCATTTCGATTGTTACTAAAGAAATGCCTTTCTGGCTTTCTTGCACTAACAAAGTGTTGACGAATACCAAAGGTATTTTTTGTACAAAGATGATCGAAAAAATTGCTTAAGTGATTTGAATTTTCCTTGTCGAATAAGTTTATACGTAAGTTTGTATATAAGTACATACGAACTATACGGATATCCACTCAACTTCTCTTACAATTTTGTTTCAGACCATGCCAAAGCATTAGAAAATAAAGATYAATAAGATTACACAGAAAACGCCTTTCTTTGAATACGAGAGATGTGTTTGACGTTGCAAGCACAGATGGCGAAGTTCTTATGTCAATATTACGACAAACAAATGCAAACTGAGAGATTTAATCTAGAAAAGAGTTTAATACATTGCGAGAAGTTAACTTCAAGATCTGGTATCTTTTGTACCACAATTGATAGTGATAAGCTCTAAGTTTCGTCCTAGGCCTGATATTGCTAATATACTAGTAGGAACTGAAAGTGTAGCGCCCAGTCATTCTGTTCGTAATTTAGGTGTATTATTTGACAATTCACTTAGTATGGAGGATCATGTTAAACAGATATGTAAGACTTCGTTTTTTCACTTAAGAAACATTTCTAAGATTCGTAAATTTCTTAATCAAACTACTTGTGAGATCTTGGTCCACGCTTTTATCAGTGCTAAACTTGATTACTGCAACTCATTACTTTATGGTATACCTAGGTTTCTTGTTAATAGGTTACAGTCCGTGCAGAATGCAGCAGATCGTGTTGTTACATTGACTAAGAAATTTGAGCACATAACTCCAGCTTCGATTAAGTTACATTGGCTGCCTGTACAATATAGAATTACTTTTAAATTACTTTTACTTGTATATAAGGGTTTAAACGGTCTTCTACCATGTTATTTATCTGAGTTATTAAGTTATCAGAAGTGCTCTAGATCATTACGTTCCCGACTAGCAAAGAACTTTTATCTATACCTAATAGCAATCTTAAAACGTATGGAGACAATGCTTTTGTTGTCGCTGCACCAAGACTTTGGTCTCCATCTGTGTCTGTTTTTAAAAATTCGCTGAAGACACATTTGTTTAAGTTAGCTTTTAATTTATAATTTTACAATTAGTACAATTTTTATTGTTTTGTTTCACATATTTTTACATCTCAATTTTTATTTAGCTTAGTTAATTATGTATTATTTTTTATTAGTGAGCGCTCTGAGCAATTAG